GTTGTTAAGTGAATCACTGCAGTTGTTAATTTAGTAACATGGTTGTTAAGTGAATCTGGCTTCCCCACTGACTTTGCTTGTCAGAACGTTGCACATGATCACATGACCCCAGGACACTGCAACCATCATAAATATGCCAGTTGCCAAGTGTTTGAATTTTGAACACATGATCACAGGTCATGTGTAAACAGTCATAGCTCACTTTTTTCAGTGATGGTATAACTTTGAATGGTCACTAAACAAATGATTGTAAGTCAAGGATTACCTATATACCGTATTGAATAAATGTGACCAAAAGTAGACTCCTTGCAAGATTTTCTCACTTTAGTTTCATCTCAAATCACTGTACATTTTTCCCTCTGTTTATGGTTCTTAGTTTAGCTCCTTTCAACGTTCACATAATGATAAAACATGTTAATGAAAAATCTATGTCTGGTTCATCCATTATCATCATTCACAGGAGTCTAACAACGTACATTTTCCTGCTTTCAAACACACTCATAACAACTTGGATGGCACCAATTCATACTTTTCACATATGTTTTAGCTCTTTCGTTCATCATTAAACCTACAACTTTCCTTCTGTAAATTCTTCCAATGGAAAGTGTACCACACTCATGTATTAGTTTGAGTCTTATTTTAACATATACTTGCCTGCATTATATTGCACTGCTGGATAGCTGTGTGCTGTAGATGACTGGCATCCTCCTGCAGCCTAAGAGCTGCATGACATATCGGTAGAGTAGTGAGAACTTCTTCAGGGATCCGTAAAGCACTCTGACAAACTTGGACTGCATGAACCTTTGGCTTCAATGATTCCATTTCCAAAAGCAAATGCTAGAAACATTGAGCATACATAAGCAACGCTACTATGTGTGTTTTGCAAAAATGATTATAAAGTTAATTTAATTATTAATTCTAGACCTGAAATGCTCAAAATGAGTTTTATGTTTTAAAACAATAATGAATGGGATAATAGTCCTAAGAAACGTGGCAATCCCAAAGATTCAAAGCAGATGGAAGTTAGGCTTTAATAAATGTATCTGTTTGGTTAGTGGTTTCAGTTTAACATGAGACTAAAAGTTGAAGTACAAGTAGTCCTCATTTAGTGACTGCTTCATAAAGTAACAGGACAGTAATAAAACAATAACTAATACCCACATTTACAATCTTTGCAGGTCGGCAAAGCAAAAAAAAAAAGCTGAAGTAAAATCATGATGCTTCGTGTAGTTACGATTTCACTTAATGAAATAAGTAACAACTCGGTCCCAATTGTGCTGACTAAATGAGGATTCCCTGTATTCTGAAATACATACAGTATGTAGTACCCTACAAAACCACTCTGAACTAACATAAACCTAGAACTTCATTTCTGAATATAACAAATACCACAAAAGCCAATGCTGAAGTTAACATTTCTTTCTCTTAGCTCTTCCAGCACCCAAATCGACAAATAGTTGGGTTAACTCTACTGTTCAATATCAGGATGACTCTTATTATTAGCATTCATCCTAGAAATTGAAGGAAGGTAACTAGTCTCAAAGTAACCCAGGAATTAATACTTCACAACTGTGCTTCTGCAAGTAGTATCTCAATGATACGATCAGTCTACCTGTCGGTGAGAAAGTTGTTCTTTCAGACTCAAACGGCCAATTTCTGGAGATGTCAGAGTGGCTTGAGCTTGCTCTAAAGCTGTACGAAGAGCTTTCACTTCTGTTTCAAATTTCTTCATATCCTATAAATATAAAATGTGGAGCAGAAAATATGAGTTTCAAGCAAAACCAGAAAACATGATCCCAGCATCTTAATGTTTTATGACTGATATATAAACATCTACAAGCCTTGCTTGGGGAGCCCAGAGGTGTGCATAGCCATGGGAATGGAGAGCACCCTAAATGTCTTTCTTTCATCTTTCAATTAACTTTGAAGAATGTTTCTAATCAACTTTTGCCCCTTTTAAAATTTTAACTTTTATGTCCTAATTTTATGTTTTAATATTTTATTGTACACCACCCAGAGTCTCTTACAGAAGGAGATGGGTATTCCAAAATGTGATAAGTAAATAAAAAATAAAAAATTTTAAAAAAAAATTACAATAGAAGAATACATTTAAAAAAATAAAAATGAATAGCCACATCTAAACGAACTAGATTAGCATTTTGTTTTCCTAATACAGTTCCCACAGATGATGTACTATAAAGTGCTTTCCACATACTTTGGCTGCATCCTGAATATTTTGTAGCCGTTGTTTGATAGCCTGTTGTAAATCCTCAGTCTGTCTACGAAGATCTGACACTTGCTGAAACATCTCTTCAGTGAAATACACACTTGCCAAGTATTCTGTTTTTTCATTCATAGTTTCAAGATCCCTGGGAAGTTCACCAGCCTCTTCAAACATGGTCTAAATTGTATAAAATAAATGATGTTTAACTTTTCCAGCTGCAACTGAACTAAATTTTAGGCTCAACATTATTGCAATTATTCCTTTTTTAAATCATAGGATATTTTTAAAAAGCAGCTATAACTTTGCTGAAATATCAATTGTATTTTGGAAATACATTTGCAATTTCTGCTAATATAGAAGCTTTAGAGAAATTAGATTGCATAATCTCTTTGTTTAATGTTACCTCTTATTACATCTGGAAACAGTTATCTAGAATTACTCCATTATCTGAAAAGATGCTAAGACAAAATGTATAGGCCTGAACTCCAGGAAGATTCATCTAAGTAAATTAGAAACTTGGAATTTCCAGTGCATGAAAAGCCTGATCTCGACAAAGCTTCTTAGTAGCTTTTCATTAATCTTTTAAAATATTCAATATTCCTATTAAACTACTGTAAATAGATTACTTGCAGTCCGTGATCAAGGATGTATGATATATCTTACTTTCCTTACTAGGCCAATCATTTCCTAGAAGACTCCCAATCACCCAGTATTCAGGGAAAAAATATTAAGAATGGCTTGAACATATGCTTTGAGAGATGTCTATCCTTATATGTTTTATTGAAATACACTGGTTAGATTTTAGAAACAATTTCCATAGGGCAAGGTTGCGCTGCCTCAGACAAATTTGCTGTGCAACGCCCGGGTTCTCCTGAACTCACAACTCCTGCTCAAACAGCAGGTGGCAATTGTAGCTAACTGGGCCTTTGTACAGCTTTGTATTGTGTACCAGTTGTACCCGTTCATAGATTGGAAGGCTCTTCTCATGGTCACATACCCTAGTCATCTCCTGATTACACTACTATAATGCTCTACATGAAGTTGCCCTTGAAGATTAACTGGAAACCTCAGCTAATGCAAAATGCAGTGGAGTGGGCAGTTATGGGTCCAGAATAGCACATATTATACCTCTGCTCTGCAAGTGCATTGGTTGTCAGTTTGCTTGTCTAATTCAAGATGTTGGTTCTGACCTTTAAAACCTTTCTGGCATATGGCTGGGATATTTGAGAGATTGTGTCTCATCAATTATATCGGCTATTCTTATTGCAGTAGGGATATTCGTGGTGGGGTGGGGGTGGATCCATGAGGTGAGCTTTTTCTACCAAGGTGTCTGCCTCGTGAAACATCTCCTCCCTTCAAAGTAAGGTTGAACCTATTCCTGTTGATTTCCTTCAAAATCTGGTTATGGCATCAGCCTGAGGGCTCCAGGAAACGTGTGTGTGTGTGTGTGTGTGTGTGAACACACTCGAATCCACATATACAGTAAATATACTGTATGTGGGTGTGTTAGATATATTTTACAGGGGTATTTTGCATTCTGCAAAATGCAAGACACTTTGTCATGAGATGGGTTGCCATGTAAATTTTTTAAATTTATTTGAATAAATAAATACATTAGACATTAAAAATCAGCCTTAATGCTTTGTAATTCACAAAAGCCAAATCATTTTACATATCCATAAGTTAGCTCAGAAACTTCAGTGATGGATGGTGCCAAACAAAAGAAATCTCACTTGCATTAAGAGATACAGTAAAAATACTAGAGTTTGGGATTGGAAACTTCAGTTTATAGCTGTTTTGATGCAGCAATTCTCTTGTTTTTTGCTATTAATAAAAAAAAGTCTGTGGGCTATTATTACCTGATGAGACATAAATTGATTGCGAAGTATAGTAGCAGAATTCCACATTATGTTTCCATGTAATAAAATCTTGGCTTTTTCAATCCATTTTAGTGTGAATTCTAGCATTTCATTATATTCATCTAAATGGGAAACAGCCTGCAAAAAAAAATCAATACATTTGAAGAATAAATGTACACAGGACTTAGATCTGCCTTAGTATAATAGTATAGTGATTACCAACTCAATTCTTTAAATTCTTTAATATTTACATTTCTCAAGTAAAGTACCATATTATTCTACTAAACAACTTACATTAATGCATTGAATATACATGTGTGATATAACGGTGGTTGAAAAGAAGAAAGTGTGGATAATGGGTATGCCAATATCAGGGGATGGTAGAATAGAAGTCAAAGAATTGGAGAAGATCACAAAATATCAAGATCTGAAAATCGAAGTTGAAAGTTTGTGGCATGAACTGGATATGGTGGTTTTAGTGATGCTGAGTGCCATATCAAAATAACCAGGGTGACAAATCTGTGCATTTTCATTCATCAATTACAAAAAGCCATACTGCTTGGATCCAAACATATACTATGCAGATACATAATGATATACTAGGTTCATGGGAAGAGGTTGAGCATACGAATGCCAACACCAACTAAAGAACTGGAAGCTGTGTTTTCACATTGCTGTGTATATTATTATTATGTGGTTAATCTTTGCTAAGATTCACAGCCTTTGGGGCCGGTTGGTAGCCTAACAGCTCGAGTCCTAATCAAAGACCTAGGAAGGTAATGTCAGAGGATATAAGTTGTTCCAAGTAGGGTGGTTTTTTGTAGTCAGAATGTTCAAGTCAGGTAAATTTAGAATTTTCAAATAGCAAGGTAGCCCTTTAGGTATTGCTCCAAGGGCTCCAATTACAATTGGGACAATACATGATTTCTTTTTCCACAGTTGCTCAACCTCAATTTGCAAGTTCTGGTATTTTGTGATTTTTTTCTTGCTGTTTATCTTCAATTCGTGCATCACCAGGTATTGCAATGTCAATGAATCATACTTTTTTCTTTTCAATTATTGTTATGTCAGGTGTGTTGTAGGCCAAGTGCCTGCCAGTCTGGATTCTGAAGTCCCACAAGATTTTGCCTTTCTCATTCTCAACCTGATGGTCCCAGTGGTTTTGCTGTACTCAAATCCAAACTTTTGGCACAATTTCCAGTGAATGATCTTAGCAACGTGGTCATGGCGTTGTAGGTAGTCAGTTTATGAAATTTTGCTGCACTCACTGATCAAGTGGTCAATTGTCTCATCTTTCTCATTACAGAGGCGACATTTGCTGTTGGTAAGTAACATGTTGAATTTTTGCCTTCATGTAGTTTGTAGCTAAGGCTTGTTCTTGAGCTGCCAAAATAAAGCCTTCTGTTTCTTTTTTCAGTGTTCCTGATCTTAACCAGTTCCAAGTTAGCTTTTGGTCAGCTTTGTCTTCAATACTTTTCAAGTATTGGCTATGCATAGCTTTGTTTTTCCAATTTTCAGCTCACTTCTCAATTACTTCTTTCTTATATTCAGCTTTTGACTTAGTTGTCTTTAAAAGGCCTCCTTTATTTATTTCTTTAATCATTGGTTCTTCACTTTTCTGGATGTAATTATTCAAGCTGTGTTTTTCTTCTTCCACCTGTTTTACTTGTTGGAATCCTCGACCACCCTCTGCTCTTGGTAGATATAATCAGTCAACATCACTTTTAGGGTGCAAAACATGATTCATTGTCATAAGCTTCCTTGTTTTTCTGTCCAAATTGTCCAACTCCATCTGGGTCCAGTTAATTATTCCTGCAGAGTATTGAATCACAGGTATAGCCCAGGTATTTATGGCTTTTATGATGTTTCCTCCATTCAATTTGGACTTAAATATCTTGTGACTTCGTTGAATGTACTTGGATGAAGTTAATTCCTTGACTTTATTATGCATTAAGTCAGAGGCCTCTAAAATCCTCAAGTACTTGTAGCCTTCTTCTGGTTTTACTGCCTTTATCATTTATTCATTCTCAAGTTCTATTCCATCATCTTCTATGACCTTGCCTGCTTTAGTTGCCATTGTTGCACATTTGTCAATTCGAAACTGCATATCAATGTCTTGGCTAAATTCTTTTGTGCTTTCAATTAATAAATTCAGTTAAGCTTTTGTATTATTATTATTATTATACAATTGTATCACAGTGGCCAGTTGTTTTGCCAGATTTGGCATTGGTTAGTAGTCAGGCCCCACCCAGGGGCCTAGGACATCATAACGTATTTTTGTAATATGTGTGCAGATCCAAGCAGTGCAGCTTTTTGCATTTGACTGATGGTGATTTTGTCAATTTTTAACTGTTTTAAATGTAATTCCAGTGCTTTTTGAATAGCACTCAGTGTGCTGATTACCACTGGAATTACCACTGCTGGTTTGTGCCATAATCGTTGAATTTCGATTTTTAAATCCTGGAATTTCGTGATTTTTTCATGTTCCTTCTCGTCGACCCTGCTATTACCTGGTATTGTGATGTCTATGATTGTAACCTTATTTTTCTCAACCAGTGTGATGTCTGGTGTATTATGCTATTATTATTATTATTGTTGTTGTTGTTGTTGTTGTTGTTATTATTATTATTTCTGGTCCCTGGTATTTGTAATGCATTTTTGAATGTTCAGTTGGCTGAGTTTCATGTTTAATGAATAAAGTATATGATAATTTCTGGTAACTCAGATGTATTGGTCACATATTTGCTTTAATTAAGAACTGACTTCTCTTTAAAAAAAGAAGAAAGAAATAAAAGAATTAGGAAACTGAATTTTGTAAAAACAGCATAGGGGATCATTTACGGAATTTGAGTCTTACACAAAAACTTTGCTCTACTAAAAGAACATACAGTGAATGATAAAACTTCAGAACATATCGGTCCAATATGATGCCATACCTGATTTAGCTTGGATGCCCTGTATTCCGCTTCCCTAATTATTTGTTGATGGAATTCTGTCAGTTTATTAATTTTGCCAGTCAGCTGTTTACCTAGCTGAGGATTTTGCTCTGCAAAGCTTTGGACAGCTGCCTCAAGTTCCAGAAGTTTAATGTTACAGCTGTCTAGTTCTTCATCCAGGTTCTGTATTAAAAGAGAATATTTTATTCACAAGAAACTGGTGAAAAAATGTTTTTTATTCAGAATAATTCCATCACATTCTTAAGAAAGGAAAATTAAATTTTAAACAAAATATTTGACCTTTTGATCTCTTTTAGCTTGTGTTATATTATTTGTCTTCTCTTTCAATTTCAGTTGAATTAAATCAAGCTCTTTGGCTACGTCTTGAATTTTGTGGTTAAATTCTTGGTTTAATGTTTTGTGCTGCTGAGCTTCTTTTACTTTGGCTTCAATCTGCCAAGTGAAAAAAATCAAATTAAAAAAAGGAAGGCAACAAATTTTACAGTGCATATATCAAAGAAAATGTGATGATGTTTCTTAAATTGGAAAAATTACATTACTGGAACATATTGATAGAGTCACAAACATTTATAATACAATAATGAATATCATAAATAATAATGTATTAATATTCAATTGAGGACAGAACTTTTCCTTCTGGGACAGTATAAATGGGAAAAGGCCATGGAAGTTTATTGTAAGATATGAATACTGCAACAAAATTACTATATGCTATTACATATACAGTACTATTTATTACTACGCATTGTGGACCTTATCTATCAAATAATTTTGGCTGGTAGGATCCAGGAGAAGAGCCCTTTCTGCTATGGCTCCTGCCTGTTGAAACATTGTGCCCCTGAGATGATCCAACCTTTTGGCCTTCCAAAAGGACCTCAAGACCTTGCTCTGCCAACTGACCTGGATCCCCAGTGAAGATACATCATTCTGGAGATGGATTCAGAGATTAAAACATCACCTCCTCCCCTGATGCCTCTTGCTCTTTTTCTTACCATCTTGTTAATTTTTAAATAATTTAATGTTATTATGTATTGTTTTAATTTTTAAATTGGTTTTTAATGATAGTAAGCCACCTAGAGACACCTCCAGGTGAGATGGGTAGCATATAAGTTAAAATAAATAAATAAACATGCACAAAAATGGAAAGATTCAACATCACCCTTCATGGAAGAATGGTTGATGAAATTGACAGACTGACTTCTTTGATTATAGTCATAGTAGAGTCTGTATTGTCATTGTACAAAATAAATACAATGAAATTGGTTTTATTCTCACTGGTGCAATCCATGATAACAAATACAAACAACATAAGTAGCATAAGGAATAATTCAAAAGCAAGTAATTTAGGGGAAAAGAAAAAGAAAGAAAAAGAAAAAAACTAGTCATATGTTTCCACGTGTACGTGGAGTGATTGTGGTTGTGTTTAAGAGTCTGACACTTGCATCACTAAACTTGTGATTTATGATTTTTTATTATTAGGCAGTATAAACTATAGATGGAAGAGAGTTATAATGTAGAGAGTAAGAGGTTAAAATATAATTGTAATAGCAGTAGCAATAGCAGTAGACTTATATACCGCTTCATAGGCCTTTCAGGCCTCTCTAAGCGGTTTACAGAGAGTCAGCATATTGCCCCCAACAATCTGGGTCCTCATTTTACCCACCTCGGAAGGATGGAAGGCTGAGTCAACCCTGAGCCGGTGAGATTTGAACCGCTGACCTGCTGATCTAGCAGTAGCCTGCAGTGCTGCATTTAACCACTGCGCCACCTTGGCTCTTATACTGTACTTATAACTGCTGTGAAGACTATCAGAAGCTGCTTCTGAATATCTTTTTATTATTACTTACCTTTCTTTTTTCCCCTATTATCTTCTATTTTTTTATTGTAGTTTTAACTTTTCTGTTAACTATTTCATTTTCTCTGTTCTATTTTAGTTTGCATTACTTCTAATACAAACTAAAATAGAGCAGAGAAAACATATAATGATATTTTATATGAACACAGAAATTCTATGGAATATAGAATATGTGCTACAGTGTTTCTTAACAACACTAGCCCTGTGAGATACGATGAAGTATCCAAGGTCATTCAGTAAGATTCAGTAGCTAGGAATGGATTTGAAACTATACCTTGTGGGTTTTAGCCTTAATCCTCGTACCAAAGTAGCTTTAATAGACATGAGTGATTTTCTTATATGTATTTTGAGATATAGGAAAAGAGATTACTCTAGAGATTACTCTAGAGCTGTGCTATCTCCTCCTTCCGCTTCATGTGATCCATGGTTGTGCATTCTGGGTGTATGCATAATATGTGTATGGTGGTGTGTCTAACCATACCACAGGTTAATTTTATATACAAAAAGTATGCATAATCTGTCCTTTCAAGGAAAGACATACAACAGAGGTGTGGAGCTTTGTTGAGAATTAACATGGATCGCCACCATATTTATGGTTGCTATGGTTGGGAGTAGATAATAGTTATGTGGTGTAGATGATTTTTTTACTTTTGCATTCATTAATTTACCACTACAGCTCAGTTCAGTGACTCTTGTAGAATTTAAGCGCTGAAACCTGTACTAAAATTATCATGCTAAATAATGTTTACCTGCTCATGTATATTTACTAGCGCCAAGCCTGCTTCTGCTAATTGAAGAGACAGCTCAGAAGGCAAAATGGTATAAAGTCCCAAGTATTTATTCTGCTGCTGTTCAGCCATTTTCTCCACTGCTTGACGGTGCATAGTGGCATCATTTAGGAGTGTCTAAAGTATATGGAAGACAAAAAAGAAATATACAATGTGGCTTGTTTCACATTAAATCTGGCATAGAAATAAATCTTGATACAATTACAAAGTATTTTTCATTGCCTGTCACTGTGCTCAGACCCTATGTAATCTTTGGGTTAAGCCTTTCACAGAAGGCTTTATGGATTCTGCACTGATGCATAGTAATAGCTTCTCATTGGGTTAATCACAATAGGAGACTATAGCATCCTGTGAATGTTATAGGAGAAAAATAACAAAATAAATAGAAATTGTTGTACCAGAATGTTGGGACATACATTATTAGATCTCTCAATTATTAAAATAGTTCTTTTGGTGAATTATTAATTTTGAGGTACCTTATAAGATATAGTTACAAATTTTAATATATGTGCTGCTAAAGTGAGCGTAGGTTTTGTAGCTTGTACAGAAATGTATTGTAGCATTCTATAAATATACACACATTGCTTTCACATATTCACAGCATAAACTTGAATTCAATAATTGGTATATGTTTGGCATACCTGAAGTTTTTCAACTTGAGTATCACTTTCTATTGTAGGATTTAATAAATATTCTCTTCCTTCTTGTATCCAAGTTTTTACTTTATTAATCTCTTTTTCTACTTCTTCACGTTCCTTTAATTCTTGTTTAACCACTTTCTCACTTTTTTTCACCTTCTGTTGCATACTTTAAAAATATTTAGATGTTAGTTCATACATTTCATCTTATATAACATCTGAAAATATTACTATAGTATATGTAATTTACAAAACAGAAAATATGTAACAGGGATGAAATTTTATTTTAGGGTTGTGTTACAACAACTACTATTATTGTTATTGTTATTTAATAAGCAGGATCATAATGCTAAGTTTTAACCATTAATTTTTTCTATCAAAATTATTCTACATTTTACAATATTTGGCAAATGGGCCTGAAGTAAGTATGGGGGACAGTAAATCAAAATTGGTAATTTTATCCCTTTGCAATATCTTCTTTACTTATTCACTTTATTCCAAGCAGTAGACTGCCAAGCAAAGGACAAGCTCAAGTAATCATTTATACAGGGCTTTTGAATATCTCTCACATTCAGCAATAGTGGAAAAATACAGCTATAGTCTAGTAACTATATTTGCACACTGAAGTAAACCCAATGTTATGCAAACACATTTATGTAATCAGAAGATTCAACCCCCTCCCCTCCTGCAGCACTGCCTTTACAAATTTAATTTGGAAAATTTGTCAAAATTCTAAAGCAGATTTGTGGGTGGGTGTTACAAATGGTAGAATGGAACATGACATCAACGCTGCATGTTCCACTATTCTGCCTGTTCAGCTATAAGGAGAATGCAGAAATATAAAATGTTTTCTTACTTATGGCATCGGTCTTGCATTGCTTTGATTTCTTGCATGATGGGCATTTGTTCCTGGGAACTAGGTGTTATTTCTATATCTTGGAGCAAACTAAAAGAATGCTGCTTGAGGAGACCCAAGGATGATAGTTGCTGTTCGAGTTCTAGAATGAAATTACTGTGATAATCTAAAAGATCCTGAAGTTCATTCTTTGAAGCTTTTTCTACCGAGCTCTCTGGTAAGCGTTCGTGCAGCTGATCAAGCGTCTCTGTTGCTTTTTGCATCTAAAGATAACAATTTTAAACAAAAAAACACCAATCTATTTTTTTAAAGGCATCATAACTACATACATGCATGCATACACACACACACACACACACACACACACACACACACACACACGTAACATTATAATCTATAATATCAAATTCAATATCTACACATTATGCACCAACTGTCATTGAGCCAGTTTGGCCTCAATGAATATACCCATTACAATACACATGGGATTCCAAAATCTTCACTAATTTTCTTTGAAGAGGATAGTCTAATTTTAAGACAAAGAATCTAAAGCAAAGCTAGAATCTGATGGGATCTGAGCAGATTTCCCTTTGATATATTAATGGCATTACAGTGTAGCTGAGATTCCACAGAACTCTCGGGTTCTGAGAGAGGTTGTTGTGGGTTCCATAAGGGATTGTGACTGAAAAATCCCACACTTTTTTGTGCCATACAATGCTAGCATTCACGGTGGTGGAAATTTTTACCTGCTGTGATTCAGCTGCCACTTTGCTGTTGTTATAAACATTATAACAAGAGCTCAGAACCAAAATAAAATATCAGAAAAATGCTGATGGTGAGTGTATTGATTGCAGTTAGCAAAATGGCAATGCTGAATAAAACAGTTTGAATATTAACTTTATAAATGCAATGTACATAGATGATGCATTAATGGCTGCTATGAATATTTACAGACAATGAATAAACATGATCCTTATACCTTATCATCAAATACATTCCATTTCTGCACTGATTCTTCCAGAATTCTTTCTTGTTCTTGGGCAATGCTTCTAAGTCTGGTCCACCGCTGCCAGACAGTGGTCATAGATCGACTTATGGTTGCCTTACTGGATATATTGCCCATTTTCTCCAGCATAGATGCTTTTTCCTCCAATGAAGTGATTGTCTCATGAAAAGAGTTCACTGTAGAGACTAGAGACTGAAAAAAACAAAGGAAATTATCTTTCCTGTTTCACAAGACAGCTTTAAAATTTCAAGCAAATGTTTATGCATTATAGCAGAATAAAAACAGATATGCCCTTTGCTGAAATATTATAATTCCTCTTTCCATTAGGCATAATATTTACATGTAATGTGTCAACTCATGAAATTTTCCTGACTTGCTCCTGAGAGAGCCCTGATATGTTTATACTAGACAAGATGTAAGTTTTACTGAAGCATCCACTATTTTTGAATGTGTAAATAGATGAGTAGATGTAGGTGGATCAATATAGATATGCAAATGTGCTTCTGTTTATTCATATTTGAATATATGTATTATTCAATGCTCATCTTATAAACTATTCAGCTTAAATAGTAATTTAATGGTCATTTCACTGAATAGTGTTCAAAATATTACAAGCAAGTATGAAACAATATTTTTTGCAACGGTGAAAGAGCAGTGCAGTCGTGAAAGAGCCTATTTGACTTTAAAATAAAATCAGTACTGAAATGTTTTTACTTGTCTAAAAATAAAACTCTGATATTGAAAAATGCAATTTATGCAATGGAAAACTACATCATAAATTTAATCAGTTCTGAGTTTTTTTGTTATCTTTAGCTAAGAATCACCTCTTAGAGAATAGCCTTTTTTTACACCACAAACTCCTAAACCTAGTACATAAATGTTTGTGATTTAACTAGGAAAAAAAATGACTTTTAAAACTTTTACCTTATGTGATACTATTTTTTCTTCTGCTCCCAGTTGAGAAGAAGTTTTAGCTACAGAAAATTCAGATAATTTCTTTTCAGACTCATTCATCAAGTCAATGATGTGCTGTCTTGCTATTTGGTAATCTTGCCACTGAGACACACACCTTGAAAAATTAAATATAATAAAAAGTCATAAGTTATACAAACTATAATCTTAGAATGTATTGCAGAGAAATAAATAATAATAAAGTATCTTACTATTGCTAACAAATATTCTTGCCATTAAACTAAAAGGCCAATGTTTAGACAGAAACTTTAAATGGTTTAATTTGATGGGAAAAAAATAATGTGATATTTTGCCATGCTTAGTCTCTAACTGAGATTATAGGATTCTAATAAATTATGTTAGCCAGCAGGAAAATATGAACTTTAAATCTACCTTAGAGAGATAGAGAGAGAGGTTTGCAATTCTGATAAAATTGTAATGGTGTCCCAAAACAGAAAGTGCTGCCAGAAAGCAATTATTATTACAGTGGCTGAGCATTCAGATATGAGTGGCAGAATTGAAAATAAAGATGGATGCCTATCTATGAACAAGTATATTTTTTAAATATTGTACTTGTAACCAAGAGCAAAAACTGGGTTAATCTGCAAGAAGACACAACTAGTATGAGATCTCCCAGAAATAATTTATAAAGAAGCTCATGGGGTCATTCTTCCTTTTCCCAACTGAACTACATCATTTTATTCTACTGTATCATTTTTAAGGCAACACACTGCAATTATTTATTAAATCATTTATTTAACATAGCATTTTATACAATGAACCAAGTTAGAGAAGATCCAGTATCACATGGTTTTGTAAATTCTCACTAATTACTTTATCAGTAATGGCCATAGGAGGTTTCGGTATTTTCTTCCTTTTAATAAAATAATGTGTTAAGCATTTCTGTGTCCATACTTTCTTCCTAGAGACTAATTGCAGTGTACTGTGCAGATATATGCTGTGTGTGTGTGTGTGTGTGTGAGAGAGAGAGAGAGAGAGAGAGAGAGAGAAAGAAAGAAAGAAAGAAAGAAAGAAAGAAAGAAAGAAAGAAAGAAAGAAAGAAAGA